TATAAAGGAACAGTTATGTGTAAACATTAATTAAGTGTCAAGCTAGATACATACTCAGTATTCTGACTCTAACTCAATGGTCCTGATATTGCATGCTTTAAAAGTCATAGAAAATACTTATAGAAGATTATTAAGATTGTAGAAGTTTAAATGGATGATGATATGAATGACATTCTGTATCTTTATTTGTTACACATCGGAAGCCTAGGTCTTTTACTTCTAATTGATATTTATATTAGAGGGAACAAGGGATGTTTATTGTTCAAAAAGATGGAATTAATTTTTCCAGTGCAAGCGATAGTGTATAATTGATCATTGAAGAGTAATGTACATTTGAAATTTTGCACTCTTTCCGTACTAATCGATTCAATTTTTTAAATTATTTTGTTCTCTTGTGTTCCTGGCCCATGCTTTCATACTGAAATGGATTATACTTTCTATAGTTGAATGATAGAATATGGACATCAATGATTTATTAACTTTAAAATACATGAGCTTCCTCAGAACCCCCCCCCCCCTTTCCCCCAATCTTTTGTCCCCTTTTTATGTAGGAGAGAAGTGTGGACATGCAAGTCGAGTTTGTTGTCTGTTATAACACCCAAATACTTATAATCTGTCGCTTGCTAGAAGTTTTCGTTTTTAATTTTGAGTGGCAGCAGAGGCAATCTTTTTGTTCCTAAAGTCAATAACAAGTTCTTTGGGCCTTATTTTCACATTTTAAAGCAGCTTATGAGTTTCACATCACTCAGAGAAAAATAATTAAAATTCCGGTAAGCAGTATCGTCATGGTCAGCCTGAATGAGCCCCATTATGGTCAACAAAATATTAGCACCAATACAGAAGACTACTTTGCTGCGTGTAACCCGGATCGATAGGGCCAAGGGCACCATTGCGAAAGCACGCGGCAGAGCTGTCTGGTAATCCCACTCAGCCTACTGCGCAGTTCAATAGGGTAGGGTTATTTCTGAGAAATAATTTGGTAAGAACTTCTTCGTAAGAAATAGTAAATAGGAAATCTTGTTTTGGCAAGTGTTTTACGGCGCGCGCAAATGCATATTATGGTCATATGAGCGTGAAGCTACTGGACCTGTAAACCAAGTACCCTGGGTCAACGTTGTTTATTAGTTACGCCTTTGTCTTGAAATGATCGGGTGAAGGAAGCTTTTAGCAACTTATATAGTTGGTAGAGGTACACATTAAACTGTATATATCAGATGATAAAAATAAAACATTTTTTTCGGACTTGTCCGGCTTTATTTAAGCATAATATAATGTAGGCCTATAGCGTACCGCGTTACGTATATCTTGTCTTCTAAAATCTTGGCAATCTTCTCTTGGGGTTTTCTTATGAATATAAACATGGCCTCACAGTCGCTTTTGAAATTAGTCGCCTATGATGTATGTAGCAATTGATTAATATCTTTAAGTTTGTACATATACGTTTCTACCCCCTCCCCCCCCCCCCCCCCCCCCCCCGGGGCGGTGCCTCTGACTGAAGTGTCTTTAGGCCATTCCCAAAGGGGGGACATTTCTCGTTCATGCACAGTAGAATTGCAAATGGGCTGATTCATCAATGTCACGCTCATAGCTGTGCCTGTTCTACAACAGGGAACTGCTGCTTTTTCTTTCCTAATCCTTACTAGATCTATTGTAATTTTCCTCTACTTCTATTGTATGTTTGTCACACTCTTGTGACCCACTATTTCCGGGGTGCCTTGATAGTCGAAGCAGACTTTGTGCTGTTGAAGCTAGAGAGGTGAGCAGAGTAAGTCTGATTCCCTGTAAAGGACTTCTCTGTTGACATCCACCCCTTGGCGCTCATATGACCTTATGCAGTTGCGGGCGCCGTAAAATCTCTACTAAACATATACGTTTCTCGTGGCAATACACAATGAGCACTTTCGCACTGAAACTGCGTTTTCTAATCTTTATGTTTTAAATCCTTTATAGACGAACCACATAATAAAGAGCACAAAAATCTGGACACAAAAAAACCGCATTAAAAAAAATATTGAGTAACCAATGCTGGAAAGAGATTCGGTCTGGTAAGCAACTAATAAAAAGAAATCCCAAGGGCATAATTCCTTTCACCCCCTTTGACTCAATACAAAGAACGTTTGAGTTAAGAGCAAAAGGAGTCCCCCGGCTTTCGTTTCCCTCAAGAGATAAGCAGGCGCTCCGTTGCAGTCAACTACTTCTATTTCAATGATATAATTATTCCCCACCTCCCCCCTCCCCCCTCCCTCTCCTTTGCTGAAATATGTCTGTTATTGAGTCGACTCTACATACACTATGCCTAAACAGTATTCAATGAAGGATCAACGCTGTTAGTATAATGTTGGCGTGTGTTTCCCTTCATCATGTCTAGACGTTACATTTTTCATAACTTTTGTCCATTGGAAGGTTATTAAGGCCGTTAAGCTTTTCCTTTAACACACACACAGCAGGGTCTTTTCAAACGGCAGTGATCATCAAAATGAAAGGCTTTATAGATTAACGTCATGTCTGACTGCGCGAAACCAGTCGATATGTTAGAACGTGAAGCAGTGCAAAATCAAACTATAGACGTACACACCAAAGCCATGAACTAGGCGGACCTTGTAATGCTTCCCATGAATTAACTCTAAGGAATATTCACCTCCCTTACAAACTACACGTTCCTACACCCAAAAATAGTTGGACTACAACAAAAAATACACGCCTTGACTGAAACCGGGAAAAGTATCGTGTTCGCGTGGATACCTAGCCATGTGGGCATCTGAGAAAACGGGCAGGTAGATCACCTGGCGAAGAAATCCTTATCCCTTCTGTGGGGATCAACGACGAACACTCTCCCACAGACTGACTTTACAAATAAAGTCAAATAGTACACCTACAGTCTGTGGGAGAGCCATTGGAAAAAAATAAATAACAAACTTCACAACATTAAACCCAAACTGGGACCGCGAAATCCTTCAGGCCTCTCCAGAAGAGACGAAGTCATTTTTACCTGATTACACATCGGACACACGGCCCTAACACACAAATACCTCCTTCAGGGAGATGAGAAGCAGTTCTGTGTCGGATGCGACACAGATTTTACCATTAGACACATTTTAACCGAATGTCTAGATTTCTGAGAGACCGGAAGGAAATACTTTAAATGTAAAAAATTGCAAGAAGTTTTTTCCGTCGTTGTTCCCAACATAATTTTAGATTTTATGAAGGCCATTGGGCTTTATGGGAAATCATAAAGTGAAATAAAATTGTTTAAAATGTTATGTTGTTATGTTATTTAAAAGAGTTGGGGGGGGGGGGGGTAATAATCTGAAGAAAAGTAGTGTAGAAGTGGAAGAGGCAGAAGAAACTATGGCAAGGAGGGAGGACAGAGAAGGAAAGGGAGGAAAAATGTAAGAAACTGTATAGGTTAAATCCCCCCTCCCTCAACAGTGTTAGTAGAGAGGTAGGACTTTTGAATTTAACACACTTCTCTGATATATATGTATATGTATGTATGTATTATATTATAATATAT